TTTGCAAAAACGTACATTATTATTATATGAATTTCCCCCATCAACTTTATGTTTTACATAAAAATATAGATACTTATTGTTTTTATTACGGTATACAAAATTTATTTATAATTGTGTTATTGGATTGTCAAAAAATTGGCCAAAAGTGCTTAGGGGTTAGAGTTTAATGCAACAACCATAATATACATACAAAAATTATGTAAAGTTTGTTATTGTAATGTAAAAAAATTTGTCAAAAGTGCTTAGGGGTTGGAGTTTACTGCAACTACCATTATGCATACAAAAGTTATGTAAAGTTTGTTATTGTAATGTAAAAAGATTGGTCAAAAGTGCTTAGGGGATTGCATTTTACTACAACTACCACATAGGCTACATTTTAATTAGCCTACTAATTCTCTTGGGGTTATTATCCTAAATCTCATTTAGGCCAAACACAAATTCAATGAATGAAGTCATAAAAGAGCAGTTAATTTGACAAAATAGCTGTGGCAACTTTTAATTCCTTGCTTAAAATTATTGTGAATCATGTTAGCCTACAAGATTACAATAGCTAAAGATGGATTGTTTATTTTCGATGACTAATACATGTGGTGAAACGTGTAGTTTGGGAGAGGCAGATTATACTTTCAAAATAGAGACTGTAAGCGGATGTTAGAAGCTGGTGATCACCTCGGTTTCTCATCTTTTGCTCATCATGACGCTGACACTTGATCAAGTGAATAATGACATCAGCCGATCATACCCGCATTCAACATTCTCACACCATAAATCCCCCTTGCATCATATACTAAAAACCTCAACAAAATATCTAACTTTAGGCGTCTTGAGTTATTTAGGAATCTGGTTTTTTTACTTTTAGCGGATTTCCCATACAGGGAATAAGCTATTACCGTTGGTCTCATGGTAAGCCCTATGGCTGGGAAAACTTTACTTTTTTGTTTTATGTCCCCAGAGGAAAAACAAAAATGACAAAAAATAACACACAGACATACATATCTTATATGTACAGTATAAAATGTATGTGTCCGTTAGCACCATATCTCGAGTAAAAATCACCAATTTCAATGTAATTTGGTACAAACATTTAACCTTTGTTTATTTGAACGAGTTCGTCAACCTGCTAATCAGACTATTGAAACAGGGTTTTATGAGTAAAAATTGGTCTGCTCCAATTTTGACATGAAATTTTCCAGTTTCTTTCCAAACCATTTTCTAGAGCTTAAATAAACAAATAATTTAATCCTTGAAGAGTCTTGTACGTCAACTAGTTACAGATAATATTCCAAAAAGAATAAATTTAAAATTCTTATATTTTTCTTATTGAAGTTAAGTAAACTGTTGTAGTGTGTTTGTTTAAGGATATATCAAGTCAAATTTGGTAATTTTTATACCCAACTACTAACATTTCACTAAAGTTATAAAAAAACAAAAACACTTTCTTATACATTCCTTGCAGCAGCAAACCTAAGTAATCAGTAATCACTAACCTAATATTATATCATGCAAATGGAAATTCGCTTAGTTTGCAAGTTTACTGTGACTGCGACGGGGTATTACAAATTCACTTATTTTTTCTTATGAATCCATTTTCAAGTTATCCAAGATAACCTCTAAATCAACAGACACATTGATTATTTAACCTTATTTAAGGTTGTAGAACAATGATTTATTGATTTATTTTATTTAGTGGTTTTATTGATTTATTTGAGTTTTATCTTCCCAAACCTGTGCGCTTTTCTTTATCAAAATTAACTTTATTTGAGGAAAATATAATTTGTTTTAGAGCCTCTATTTCAATGTAGTAGACAGCCTATGAAATCTAAATGTTTTTTAATTAAATTGTCAATAATCGTAAATGGAAAGTTACACTTCAGTTGCAAAGAAAGACAGAAAACGTTTTTACTGTTAGTGGTAGACACTTCCTAATTTGACACTGCAAATAAAATGTCAACTGTTATATGCAAACATTTGAACTTCAGAATTCTGCATCTACATTTCTTCAATTCAATATTTATTTGACAAATTGTATGGTACTAGCCAAATTAAATGACTTTATAAATTACCCCAAATAATTAACTTTTTTTCAGATAAATTTTCTAAGTTTCAACAGGTGTGCCGTCCTGTGCACAAAAAAAACCTTGACAAGGAAAATATGAAAATTGTAATCCAATACTGTACCTTGATGTTACAATATTAGTTTGTGCTAAAACATTCCAAAAAGAAAATGTAACAAGCAACTGTCCTCCTCTAAACAATACAACCACAAAAAAGTATGGATGAAATTGTTAACAAGCCAAAGAATATTGATTGACTAATTGAGTTGTTTTCGTTTTATGATGTAAAACCCATAATTCTTGTAGTTTGTATTGGAGGGTAGTTTGTCTACTAGTAAAGCGGAACATTGATCCCCAAGGTCGCGGGTTCAAATCCTGCCAATTACCAGTGGATTTTTATCTGAGTCATAATGCCGCGACTCCTTGACTAAAGTAATGTGGAAAAGAAATTCCGGGCTAGAACCCAGAGTGAAAAAACAAAAAAGTATTTTGCAGAAACACATGCATGTTTATAACATCAACCAAACCAAAATGCGAGAAATGTTAACATTAACATCCGTTGTATGATGCAAATGCAAAACATGTTGCGGCATGCAGGATTCCACAAATGTAATGCGCTATTTATTGATATTGGCATGGCCCTTTGGCCAATGTCCCGGCTGCCGCAAATCTTGGGTGAAAAATAAACATCGCTCTGTTATACTATTTAGGGAACAATAGGCAGAACTCCCTGAAAAACTGAGCTGGTTTGGATATCATGGGGTTGCTATCAATGAAAATTGTTGCAAAATTTGTGTCGTATTTCGTAATTCGCACCGGTCATGTTTGCCACCTTGCTGTCGTTTACTATTGTTGTTTTATTATAACTTATTCTTTACCACTATCGACCATTAAGAACTATTCTGAAGAATGTCTTGGCTAAAGGTATGTTTCAATTATCAAAATAAAGCTGTCTGTTGAAATGTTAAATAAAATAAAGTTCTCCAAAGTTTTCTGTAAAAAGGTTTAGTTTTCGGAAACTCTTAGTTTGAAGATAAAAATGTAATTGATTTATGGTTGGTTTTTACCTCTAAGCATTGACAAAATTTATATTATTTTTCGTGGTATTGGTATTTTTTAAATAAAATTAATAGATATAGTCATTGTAATGTTTATTAAAACACTTGAAAAACCATTTTATAAAAATGTGATTGATTTCTATACAAATTCAGTACATTAAAACGTCGTTTTCATTTATTTGTTATTTTTCCCAATCATTGATTCATTGGTTGTATAGAAATTTGTATACGGGAATAAAACACATATAAAAAATATTTAAAAACCCCGTTTAGGAAATTAATGCATTTTAAATTAGAGCATGTTTAAGATTCAAACACATAACTAATGAAGTTTGCCAGTTACAAACTTACAATTAATTTACCTTTTGTTCCTATTATACAATTACTGCAATGAGGATTTGCATTATTTACCAAATCAAGATAATGGGCATAAAAGGGACACCAAATATACACTTGATTTCAAAATTTAAAACCCATTATTTTTCCTACGAAAAATGAGTTTGTTTATCTCGCGCGACTGGATTTTCGTTGACTTTCTTCAGATCTCATTGTTTTAACTGTAATACTCGTACATAGTTGTTTGTTTTCTCTTGTAATTAGTGTTTGCACGTCTCACGTTATTTGTCACTTCATGTGGAATAGTTTTTCAAACTCTGATTTTAAAATGAAACAACGAAGCTCCAAAATTAGTTATTTGCAGTCCACACTAGACGACTCAACCATGGTATGTACTGTTTTACTTTTTCAATTTAGTCGAATTTGAAAATAGAGTAAATTTGGCTTAAATCAATGTTTGTTGAAATTCGTTGCTTATTGTCTTCACTTTAAAACAAACGTGGTGAAGATAGGCCTAGTTTATTTACGTTTGGAGATGGCGTACTGTAGATGAATTTTGTTGATTCATTGTAATTTTCCATAATGATAATTATGATTGTTTGGTTGGTATATGACGTCAACCATGTTGTAGGTAATACGCAAACACCAAACAAGACAGTATATTGCACTGCAGTCGCTTGGATTTTGTTTTGTTGTGCTGTGCAAATTGCGGAAGTTGGATCTCAGGGGCTTGCTTGTCGCCTCAAGTCATTCCGTGATTGTACAGCACTCCTTATTTTTTACGTACTCGCCCTTGATAACAAGTGTCGAAAGTGTTATTTTTAAACACGCTTCATTTTGTGTTACCTCTAAACTCATGTTCTGCAAACCTTGATATGAAGTCTACTACGATAAGAAGTCTATCTTCATAACAAGGCTTGTTTTTATTCTTATTACTGTATATTTGATAACATCAATGAGAGACTTGTTATGTAGTAATTGCTATGTAGGCTTAGTACATTGCGTTTTTATCTTTTTCATTTTCTGTAATTGTACGCTGGTAGTTTCTTAATTCATAGTACAATAGAGAATTCAATTGAAATAAGCTTATAACAGCCAGAATGAGTAAACACATTAATACTAATATAAGTGGCCCTAAAGCCAATGGGAAAAAGCTCAGCGGATGCATTTGGTTGCGAAAGGGGTGTGTATGATCATTAGGGAGTATAGAGGTGGCCTACTGTATGGTTATTTTTTTAGTATTAAACAACCGATTATGCATAGGCAGTTTAATTACTGTAGTATTTCAATAAACGAAAAGTCAATCACAAAAAAACAAATTAGTATAATAAAGTAAAAAAAAAACAATATTAATTTGACTAACAACGGGTTAAAAATAAAATTTCTTCATTATTGAGTCACATCATTGCGTCCTAGTTCAATTTGCTGTAGGGGTCGTACAATCAGTTTGTGCGCTGCGCCGCTAGCAGGTCAGCTGATGTGGTAGTTCCGCAGTATGACGCTAGGTGTCGCAGTACCCTGTTTACCGCCGTTCTGCCGCCGCCGCATCACTATTTCTCTTTTCAGTTTGCCGTCGTCTCTTAAGCCGCGAGTCTACCTCGTACCTGTACGCACGTTTAGTTCACGAGTTTCATAACTAAAACTTGTTTTGTTTTTCTGTGCGTACTGTTCGCGAGTGCAGTTGAGTAACTAGTGTCCAGTGATGAGCATGTGATACTGCGATCAGCTGTTCGTTGCAACAATGGTGTCAGCTGTTTTTTGCTGGTAGTGTACCTATTTAGTCTATCGCAAGAGTTGAACGAACGGTATACCTTGGCAGATGAGTCGTGTTGTCGATTTGAAACGCTATTGTCCTCGTTTTTTCTTTACATATCCAGACCATTGTGCCGCTTACACATTAGTTTTGCTATATTGTATAGCACACAGGTGTTGTGTGCGATATTGCTGATGAAAGGTTTTTTACTGGAGTACGAAATAGGTGTATGTGATAAATGATTGCGATTTTAAAGGCTAAGTTGTAGTACAGAATAAAGAGCACTTTACTCGTTTTTATGTGGTTGTAGTTACTCAAGAAAACAATAGTTTAAGTTAATGAAGAATAAACTGTTATAGTAGGCTAATACAGTAAACTCTTTCGGTTCTTTATATGCACGCTCTGATGCTTTTAAAACATGTATTGCATTGCCTTAACCGCCTCAACGAAAGTAAGGGAAGGATAATACAGTATACGAATTAACGAATTAATGGTTCCATAATATTTATGATTGTGACAATAAATTGCACAACTACAATGTAACTATCACATCAACTCATTTACTATAATCATGATGAATCATCAGTATTCTGTGGACTCTAATCAGCTCTCTCATATATATGTATTAGTTATTAACAATTCTTATTTATATTTAACTAATCACCTTTCAAAAAAGGTCAAGGGGGTTTATAAAAGTATATAAACTTTGTTAACTTAGTAACAGCGTAGTAATTCGAAGCTAAAACCACAATGGCTCTTCCGAAGGGCTGGCTGTCAAACCCTCCTAGAATTGTCACTGTGTTTATTTGGTAAAATAAGGCGCACTTTATTGAAATAGTTTAATTTTTCAATACACACTTTGTTTTAAGTACAGTACTGACCGATATGGAAACTTGGATTTGACAATAGATTTTCTCTAACATGCCATGACGTTTTTTGACTGTAACTTAAAAAAATACCACAGACATTTTTATGGTCTAGGTTTTAATACTGTCCATAAAACGCATCTCAGAGTAAAAATAACAAACGACTTGATTGGGGTTTCAACTTCTGTATTTAAAATGATACCGGTAACAACTATTTTATCTGTTTTTCTAAATTGAATTTAAGTTTGTAACAAATCTGTAACTGATAAAACAAGGCACGTGTTATGTTTTCATTGTTCGGACAATGTGAGCCGTTGGCGAGGATGATAACTGGGCAGAGACCCCTGACTCATGGCTATCAGCCATCAGCTATCAGTTGATAACGCCTATCAGCCTCAGTGGCAATCAGCTGTACGTGTCGCAACATTGGCAGGGTGACGTCATACCAATGTCAATCCACTCACAAAAATATGCCTACACTACACCGCCCGACAGCACACGACTACAATGTTTTCACTGACAAAGACCAGCAGGTTTTAGCCAGGATCTTTGATTAAAATATGACGATAAATAAATAGCTAGACCCGGATTTCAACTTTTAGAAAACTTACACCTTACAAACGTAATATCGGCACGGGGATAATAAGGCGAAACTTTGAAATATGAATCGTGTTCATAAAAATATCGAATCTAAAACGTTGACTATATTTAATAACATCCGAGTATGACTACGTATTTTACTTTCGGTACCGGTAGTCACAGCGTATCCATGCGTTCATTGTTAGACAGAGTAAATAATGTTTACAAGGGTTGAAACCCGTAACCTAAACCAAAGATTCGCAGTAGCATGTGTAATCTTTGCCTAAACTAACCCAACCACAATATGACATAACAAGACATAAAATAATTTAGTGGTACCAAAGATTACATGCTACGCAAATATGTAATCTTTGGTGGTACCTATTATTTATGCCTACCTACATACAGTATAATGGTTCAGATGAAAAATATATTTTGGTGTGTTCTGTATTTTTATTACAACTTTACATGAGTTAAACAACCTAAGTTGGGACGACATACGCATTATGCCTATGGTATGTTATTTAATATGACGACTTTTGATGTTTGGGATTTATTCACTCGCTTTGTAAAAACTTTTTACATCAAAACACTCTTTGCAAAAGTGGTAAAACATCAACAGTAGTGTTGTAAAACGTTTAATTTTCGTCAACTTCATTTTCACAAAATGAAAGAAAAAACACTGTCCCTTGAAAGTTACCATTTCTTTCGCTCTTTAGAGTAACCTCGTTTCAAAGATTTCCTCCTTTGAATGAAGGACCTCCTCAGAGTATTTCTTTACCTACTCGTCCCCAAAGAGGAAAGCCAATTTATTAACTCAACCCACTTGTAAAACTATATTTTATAGCATTCAGTGCATGTTGTAGCTTATTTAAATCTTATGTACCAATGAATACAATAGTTAAGATTGTTTTATATAGCGTTTTCCTCCAGGTTTCCTGATAAAAATGTCACTTGAATATTCTCGCGAGTGAGATTACCACTGAGCTAGCAATAACTGAAGGGGGTACTGAATGAGGGAATTGGGGGAATTGAGACTTTGCCTGTCTTATCTACTAGAACAGAGAGAGCAAAAATGTACATTTTTCTACTCTTTAATCTATGGTAGGCCTACTAGAAGTAAAGTACATTGGAACTTAGAAGACAGGGGATTGAAGGATTCTAATAAAGTCATTTGCCAATGAGCTCGTCAATTCCCCTAGTTTTTACTATCATAACAAAATATACAGCGTGTCGATTGTCAAGCAGAGTTTCCGTACCAGTTGTATTTATATCTCAGTGGAAATTACTCATCTAAACTGAATATACAATCAGACGCATTTTATTTAGGCTACAGCACAATTACATCGCAGTGAGTGGAAATAGAGTAACATCACAACATTTCACCCAAGTTTGTAAACGTTTACGTAAGCGGATCGTAGTCCGGTACCGAGCCTTGTGACGCCATAGCGCCGTCCGTCTGTCTGTCCGCCGGTAAAAACCAGTTAGCGGCCTTCTTTCAGCGGACAATGAAATGGGTTCCGCGACAATAGAGGGTTCCGTCCGTGGTGGCTTCGTGGCGTGACCGGAGGAGCACGGAACTGAGGACGGTCGTGATTTGGTACAGGAGGGGGGGAGGGTGTTTTTGCTTTGACTTTTAGGATACTGAAGCAGGCATCCCAAATATATGGACCAGCTCCAATTATTTAAAAGAGAACGTAGTCGAATGAGCCGTTCGTGCACGGCTGTTTAGTTGATGCTAAGGATGCCAGAGCTTACGATAAATAGTCCTGCCAATTTGGCTTGGTTCAACAATTGGTGTATTCGACAGGAATCTAATTTACATCAGCTGGGTGGCTCAATCTGAGAGTAGATTTTGATAAGTTTAACAAGCGATAACTTAAACATGGGGATGGAATGTGCTGTGGTCGCTGGTGCAATCCTACCCTAGGCCCTAGTCCAAGGTTTTAGCTTTGACTAATAGTAGACACCTCAGTCTCGGTGTCTCAAGTTGTCACTAGTCTATAAGAGTACAAATTTATTTAGCTCACTAGTTTTCTTTACTGATTTAGGTTAAATATTCAATCTCTAACAAAGTTAAACTGAAAGACTTGACGTTTACTATAGCCTGTTTCGTGTTACTTAAACTGTAATATGTAACATCATACGTTATGGGGGAAATAGCATTTTGAGAGTAGGTCGTTTTGCGAGATGTGCATTCAACTAGTACGTTGTATGTTCAAATTTGTTGTATTTGAAAAACAATTAATTGTCGACTGTAGTATACAAAAGATAATGGTTGTGTGTTATCTTCTTATAACTGCTGTTCACCAGGGACATATTATTTTGGTACCTACCTAATTTTCACAACGCATCAGTGCCCTAAAAACATACTGTTGGCGAAAAGATATACTCTTTCGTTTAGAGTAAAGAATAAAGTATGTCTGTTTTTTTATTACGTGTGTAGGTAGACTCAGACTCTAGGAGGTCATTGTATCGAAATTACATTGTCCAAGAATTTCCAAGAACTTGTTTTTTTTTTTCATTAGGTTCACCGTGGAGTGCAAAATAGCCTCGTCTAGAAGTAGGTTTTGGTTGGGATGGTCTTGGTCTATGTTTCAATACAATTTATGACCCCTTATTAATCCGGACCCATTCATCACGTGACACTATTTATAAGTGGCAGCAGTTTCTAAATATTTTATCCATCTAAGTCATGAGTTAGATAGTTAGATAGTAGTGAATTAGATAGGTTTTGTTGCAAAGTTTACAATATTTCGAAGTGCACTATCCAAGGGATTTTTGTAAAGTGTGTACACTATACACTACGCAATCGGTCTTTAACACCTCTGCATTTCTTCATATAAAATGTTGTTTGCAAAATTTAGAATTCCATTACGGGCTTGAATCTCAAGAATATCGGATTTATGATAAATAAAGTTACAAGTTTTTCAGGAAACTAACTTAAAAACATTAGACCTAATTTATTGTTCAAATATAATCACGGTTGTTATAAAAGTTGCACTGAAAACTTCCTCTTTAAATCTCATTAATTTAATATATGGACCGTGCTCTTGAAACATTCAAGATCAAGTGGGGTGGGTCAAGACCCTTCCCCTATTCTTGGCTCCTGCCGTTATAGATATGAGTGGAGGAGGGGGTGAGAAGGTCAGGCTTAAAGTGTGTCATATTTTATATGTCTTATTGTTACTCCATTTATACCAGCTTGTAATCAGTTTACTGACCCAGATTTGTTTAATTGGAACTTTTTATTTATTTTGTCTAGCGTATCATTTCCAGGTGAAATTTCAACACATTTCTTAAATCTTTAGCACTTAAAGTCTCTAAAATTGCATAGCTACTTAATGCATTACATAGGTTCAGCATAATTGGATATTTACGTAGTTTGTTTCGGAGGATACAATTAGAAAATAAATCCAAACTTGTACCTATGTTTACATCTTCAGGTTTTTTAATTTCTTGAACTTTAGTACCATAAAATTACGGAAAATCGAGTTTCCACCAAAACGGTGATTTTGATCGACATTTAGTATGTTATTATCCTTTCAACTGTAAACAAAATGTTG